GAGAGAGAGAGAGAGAGAGAGAGAGAGAGAGAGAGAGAGAGAGAGAGAGAGAGAGAGAGAGGCAGCATACTAGTGGCTGAGTGGCTTTTGAATGTGCTGGAGCAGCAGAAAAGGATAGAAAACGAGTGGGTGGCCAGGATCGGAGAATTTGAATAAGAAAATAAATTAAGAAAGAAAAGTGGCTGCAGAGGTTCAAACACCGCCAACCAAATAAAGAAAAATGAAAAATAAAAAAGTGTAAGTGGTACTCGAAGCTCGGGGTAGTAATGGCATGAGATGAGTTTGGCTACTTCGTCGTTTTGTGGACTGCATCCCCCACCAATTATGAGGCATGTAACCTGCGGGTGTTGGGCCTCCTTTGGCCCTCCATAATAACTATTAAAAACTATTAAAAAGCTTAGCATGTGCTTGATTGGCTGAATGTCCAGGATGGATCTGAACAAGAATTTCAGTGTAGCAGGGTTGATGAACAGAACTTGCACTGCGGGTATGGGGAAACGGTTACTGAACCGTTGGCTCAAGCAGCCTCTACTGGATATTGATGAGGTAAGAAAGCCAATGCTGTTGCCTCAAAAAAAGAAGCAAAAAAAAAAGCAAAAAAAAAAGGGCTTCGTATAACGGTATAAGACCTTCTCATTTTTTTTTGGTTGGCTGGCCAACATTTTTATTTGTGAACGTGGCTTTGCGATTGGCATTTTGATGGGAATGCATGTCAATGGGGAACATGTTGACAGGATCCGCTCCACGCACATCGAATGCATGCCCAGACGCTGGGCGGCCGGTTTTCACCACTGGACTGGCTAGCCTCTGCGTTTTCAATCTCGATAGAGGATCTCCAACAGGGAGTGGCCCTGCAGTTGGGTCGCATGGTTGTAAAACAATTGTGAAGGCTGGCTTTTCTTGTGTGGCAGTTGGGCGGCTTATTTTTGCAGTTGGGGCTGCGCTGTGTCTGTTGGCTGTTCGTGAATGCGGTTTTGCTCTGCATGCCGTTTTCGATGTAGTGCAATTGTTTTGGGCTGTGTGTCTTGAAAATGATTGTGCGATGCAGCACTGAGCGGCACCCAGGACCCTTATACATGTTGGTCTGCTCACGAGCAACCAGGGGAGAGAGAGAGAGAGAGAGAGAGAGAGAGAGAGAGAGAGAGAGAGAGAGAGAGAGAGAGAGAGAGAGAGAGAGAGAGAGAGAGAG